GTCGAACCATGACAAGTAATAATATTTTATAGAAGAGAATGACGATGACAAATAATAGTTTTTGGTTGAGATTAACGGGGACAGCTAATCGTATTCTTTTAGAAGAGTCTAACAATGACAAGTAATGATATTTTATAGAAGAGAATGACGATGACAAATAATAGTCTTTGGTTGAGATTAACGGGAACAGCTAATCGTATTATTTCAGAAGAGTCTAACCATGACAATTAATAATATTTTATAGAAGAGAATGACGATGACAAATAATAGTTTTTGGTTGAGATTAACGGGAACAGCTAATCGTATTTTTTTAGAAGAGTCTAACCATGACAAGTAATAATATTTTATAGAAGAGAATGGCCATGACAAATAATAGTTTTTGGTTGAGATTAACGGGAACAGCTGACAAGTAATAATATTTTATAGAAGAGAATGACCATGACAAATAATAGTTTTTGGTTGAGATTAACGAGAACAGCTAATCGTATTATTTTAGAAGAGTCTAATCATGACAAGTAATAATATTTTATAGAAGAGAATGACGATGACAAATAATAAACAATAGGATTCGGTAAAAGAGGTTAGAGATGTCTAATAATAGATTTCTTTTTTGAAGAAATAAAAGACAAAATATAATATTTGGTTCAAGAGACGAATGTTGACAAATAATAGTATTGATATACGATACTAACGAGGACAAATCATAGTATTTGGAAGTAGAGAAAGACGGGGGCAAATAATAGCATTCGATAGAATAGAATATTCGATAGAATAGAATAAATAACAATATTTGGTAGAAAAGGTGAACGATTTTAAATACAAATTTTTGGTTAAAGAGACGAAAATTGACAAATAATAGTATTTGGTTGAACAGATGGACAAAACAAATAATAGTATTCGGTAGTAATGGTTAACTGTGACAAATAATAATATTTTATAGAAAAGAATAACAATGACACATAGTAGTATTTGGTAGGAGAGAGTAGCAATAACAAAATATGGTATTTAAATGGTTAAATTGAAAGAGAGAAGACATTTGTAATTATTCTCCACTAATTACTCACCACTAATTTAATACGTCATTAAATTGTATATGTTTTGTATGGAAATTAATTGGGTATGATAAGCGTAAACTTCCGAATACTTTTTTTTTCTTGCTTCGTTATTTTCGTAATAATTTTTTAAATGAGTTCAATTTTGTTTCTTATTTCTGCAGAGCTCTATACATTTGAGTACTCCTTTGATTGATTCAAATTCTGAAATCACCATGGGAACATTTTTTAAATTTTTTCAATCAATCACCTTAATTTAAAAACTAATACTTATGAACATTTAAATGTAATTTTTTTTTACATTGATTCATGTTTCTAATTTTTGATAAGTTGAAGCCTTTCTTACTCTTTGCCTGTTCTTGTTGTCTTTGCAACTCACATGCAGTTTGGGCTCCAATAACCATATCAATAAAGGAACAGAACAATGCCAAGAGAGCGAAGATGTTCATGTTTTATTTTTCTAAAACAAAAACGAACGCTTAATCCTTTTAATATTGTTAATACATCATAAAAATACCTTTGAGGAAAATTAAATTAAAATTTTTAGACGTTACAACTAGCAACTACACTTTAAAACAAACGTAAGATGCAGGAAATCGTATAAAAAAGTAACAGAAAGCACTAACACGAATGTTATCCCAAACTCATGGAAATTTCTTTTCATCTGCTAACAACTAAGATTTAAAAGTAACTAATTCATAGGTTAGACACATGATATATACAGCCCTGTAGACAAGAGAATTTTTTACCGAACTGTTCTAAAAGAAAAAAAAAAAAAAAAACGAAAGAAAAAATTTATATTAAGCCTGTTTACGCATCGCCTAGTAAGCATAACGTAAGCGGAGGGATACGCTGGAAGTTTTCTAAATTTCTTCAGGGTTTTAGAAAGCCTATTATTGGCTATTCTTAGTCTACCATCCATATTTGTGTATACACTATAACTTTCTTCAGTTTATGCAATTTAATGCAATTAAGAGCTACGTTTTATTTAAAAATGGTTTATAAATAATGATTATATATTCAGTGTAGAGTATATGATGTTTTGCTCAAAAAAGTGAAGAGCTTTACTAAAACTTTTGGACCAAAACAATGGAAATCAGCCTATAATACCTTTTAAAGAGAGTTAATTAGTTTATCAGACCGAGATATCCTGGTCGGTAGGGCGCTTGGCCCATGTTCGAGAGTTTGTAGGTTCGAACCCCGCCGGCCGAAGACTCCCCGTGTAGTAAAGTGACTGATGCACGTTAAATCTGTCGAGTCGCAAAAGTCTTCTATGTTCCCATAACAAAACAATACCTCTGGGGGTACTGGATTGGAGAACGATCGTTCTCTGATTCAGGTCAAAATTGCGATCTGTGGATGAATGGATCCGCCCTATTAACGGGTGAGACGTATGGTGTGGTGGAAGTCGAATTCTTGGCCATAGATGGCGCCACTGAAAAACAAGAACAATCTCACCCCCTCTGCCTAAACAGGCATACGTCAACAACACAACAACAATTAGTTTATCATAGAGTAATATTAGCGATTCTTGGATAATATTCTAATATTCGGTCAATGTTGATTCGTTAAAACTCTCAAAATCGTAGTTTATACAACTTTAAGGAAAATTAAAAATTTTTTGAAATAGCCACTATTATGTAACCTACGTTTTAGAAAATCTTTTATTTATACCCTGAAATATAGCCTTTGTTTGTAGCTATTCCACCTCTTTTAAATGAATTTAAAACTATTGTTTTTTTTCAAATACAAAAAGTGAGAAATTTTTGTGTAAGAAATTTTTATGAATAAATTTTTATGTTAAATGTATTTTACATAATTTGAATGACTTAGTTTCACAATCAGTATATGCTACATATTTTTAAAGCTTCGTTTTAAAATAGTACCAGCTTTCATACACGAAGTAAAAAATCTAGAAAAATTATTGTACTGTGACATCAGGACGAAAGCTTAATAATAATAATAATTAGAAGAACAACTCCACAGAAATGTATAAAAAATTTTCTCTTAAAATTGATTTATTGATAAGCTGTAATGACACAAAAGTAAAAGAACCACAACTACTAATTATTTGAAAATAATTTATAGCAAAGTTACTCAGAAAATTTGCAGATAAAGTCCATAAAATTTTATATCCCATTAAAGTAATAGACTAGTACTTTTATTGCTGTAATAAAAAGACGAAATATTCCTTGTATCTATTTATTTTACTAAAAGCTCTATAAATTACGGAATGCGCATATTCTCAGACAAAATAAATGTAGGGTATTTTTAATGCACAGACATCTTTATTTTTTTGCATTGAAAATTTTAATTGTAATCTCTTTCTTGCCATATTTGAAATTAATTAGCTAAAAAGAATTTTAAAAAAATTAAATTTACTAAAAAAATATACAAAATTAAAACTTTCAGAATCAACATAAATACTACCTTTAAATTTTAAAAACAGTTTTCAAGGAATATATAGATACAATTCTTTACAAATTTGAACTGCTACATCATTTTTAATAAAATTATTTAATAAGGTTTAAATAATAACAACTTTTCTAAGTGTTACAATTGTATTTGTTTTGCAGTTGTGCCATCCACAAATGAACTATTGTATGCAACTTAAAAAGATCCAGCTTACATAATGACGGCTATTTCTCCAGGTATTATGTTCATTTCTAATAAAATTTATCTAAAAAGTTGTTGCAAGAATTTCTTATAAAATGTTTAATGGAAACAGCTGAAAAGTCATTTATTTGGTGTTATTGCTGTTATTCGAAAACCACCAGCTTTTCATGGGTGAGATAGCCTGGTTGGAAGGGCACTGGACTCTCGTTCATGAGAACGGGAGATCTAATTTAGCCGGCAAAAGACTCCCTGTGTAGTCAATGGAGACTGGTGCCCGTCAAATCTGTCAGGTCACATAGTCCTCCATGCTTCCATAACAAATTAAACGTCTGGGGTTACTGTACTAGAGATTAATCGTTCTCTGGTTCAGGTCAAAACTACGATCTGTGGATGAATGAATGGATGTATGAAAGACTCCGTTCTAAAAACGGGCGGGACGGTATGGGTGTGGCAGAAATCAAATTCTTGGCGATAGATCGATCCACTGAAAAACAAGAACGATCACACCCCTTGATTTAATTAACTACAACAACCGACTCTCTTTAAAAAGTCAAAAGAAATTCTTGCAGCACATTTTAAGAAAAACTTTATTTAAAATAAACGTATTGCCAGGAAAATTAACCGAGACTATACAAAATCGATTTTTAAAAGTTGCGCGCAATGCTTTATGTATTACATTTTTGCACTGATCCATAAAAATGTTGTTGTTTTTAAACTTTTTTAAATTATTTTATTTCATTCTTTAGGTCTTATGCTTGTTAAATCTTTGAAAAAAAATTGAACCTTATTTTTTTCCCCAGAAACACGTTCTGAAAGCTTAACTATAGACAAAAGAAGAGCATGATTTCAAATAACTTTAGGAATGCTAGTTTGGTGACGTAACATCGATTCACATGTCAGTCGCGGTGATGACTATAAGAAATACTTATTATAAAATTGTAAGAAATTATTAAACATTAAAGGGCATGCGATAAATTCTTAAACAGAATCGTTTACAATTATATAACAATGGTTAACATTAAGCTTATGTAAAAAAATCAATTTTAAAACATTTTTCCCGAACAGAATAACTAAAATTTTTGAACGATTTTTCGAAACAAGACCTAAAATTGTTCCTCGTAGTCAGTATCTAAATTTCAGAACCCCAGCTGTAATGGAGTTATAAAAGATACAAAATAGCATTCTGAGACAAGAACAGATATAATATTGAGCGAACACAGAAAAAGTCGAAGAAAGGGCTTTTGTCGCAGGATGGACATTGAATGAATGTTCCAACCAAAATACAGGATGAAGTACTTACAGGATAAAAGTTGAATGAATATAAATGCTTACCAAAAATCACGTCGAAGCTGAAGAAATGATGTGTGCTGCTTTATTTTAGTGTTTTATATACTCACTGATGTGGCTATAAATCGTTGTTTCAAGTCCTAAAAATAACTTAATCTTAAAACAAAAGAATTAGTAATTTTTTATTACACAACGATTATTTTAATAAGTAACTATTACATATTTATTACTTATGTTTAATTGCATAGCCTCTTTTATTAGCATTTCTAGAATTTAGAATATGCTCTTCCTTATTGATTAACTTGTTTATGTTGTAATAAATACTGCGCAAAAAATATCAATAATTTATTTGGCTAGAATTTTCTTAAAGAAAATTATTACGTAACTTTAGCTTCATTTCATTATGCAGGGTGTAAAGAAAATATTGCATTTAGTTTGCTTTTTTAGATTCCTCATCAAAAATGAAAACAAAATAATACACACTGGGGGTCATAAATTAATATTTAAACAAGGAAAAAAACAAAAATGCTACAGAAATAACTGTAGAGAATAGTGAATGTAATAAACATCATAACAGAGCCGTGATGGGTCAGGGGATAGAGCGTTCGCCTTCCAATGAGCCGAACCGGGTTCGATTCCCAGCCGATACGAATTCCGCATCCAGCTTGCACCAACCACAGTGCTGACATGAAATATCATCAATGGTAGACGGATCATGGCTTAGAGTCCCCTTACCATCAGGCTAACCGTGAGAGGTTCTCGTGGTCTTTCTCTCCATGTAACGCAATTGTGGGTTAGTTCCATTAAAAAAGTCCTCCACGAAGGTAAATTTCTCCTAATTCTTGATCCGCTTGTCTTTTGGATTGGGTTCAAAATTACAAGGCTACGGATTTGAACATTAGTAGTTGTAAACCCAAAAAAATTGAGTCGGCTGTTCAACGAAGGTTATAAAATAAAATAAAAAAGTTTATCGATACTGTAAAAAAAAGCTGTAGTTTAAGTGCCTTACACTTGAAACAATGCGATGATTCTAAACTATATATAATCTTGCCGTGAAGAACTATCCGAGCATTAGAACAGACAAATAACTAAAATATTTTGAAAGTTATTAAACTTTTTTAAGAAATTGCCAATTTGGAGGCATCTTTCGAATTAGATGAAATTTATCAAACTCGCAGTCTAATTTTCTGTTTCTGCTCATTTTTATAAGCTCAGGAAATGCAGCATTGTAGTAAGTTTTTAAATATTAAAAAATTAGACCACAAATTTTTTATTTTCACAAGACTGAGTGTTTTCTCCATATTGACGTTTTGTGCCATTTTCAAAATAATTGTAGAGGGCGCTCTCTTTAGATTAGCTAAACTTGATCCAACAGTCGTGAGTAACAATTGTAAACTCACAACAAATATAAATAAAAAACTAGCGGGCTGCGCCCCCTGCTCGCTGACGCTCGCCATTCCCCGAAAATTGCTACGCAATCTTATATGGTTTGCTTCGCAAACCAAGCTCGCTTCGCTCGCTACTAACTTCGGTACATTGCAAATGCACGAAATTCTAAGAATTCAAAACAATCATTCAAATCCATATAACAACTTTTATTAAAATAAAAAATTGCATCTTTTTAGTAAAACTAAATCATTAAAATAAATTTGAATTCAAATAAATGACATGTAATTCGTTAAACTTATTAGAAATGTGCTATAGTATAAAATCTTAAGATAAATTTTCTAAAACTGATATCTCTTTACAAAGGTTAGAATTTTGGCTATAATTAAGTTTATTAAAAATGAAATAAGTGAATTGCAATGGAAAAACCTGCATAAACAAATAAATTCTAGTAAAGCAAATAAATTCGTAATATGAATCAAAAATCGTCAAATAAATTCGTAATGTATAAATTCGTGAAAAAAAGCGCTTCCGAGAAAATACTAAAATAGAGATCTATCAGCAAAGACTACTTACTTCTGCCTTGCTTATGCTGTCTCTGGTTATTTCAGTTTCCTTTTTTAAAAGCGCTATACGTTGAGCCACCTCAGTAGATTTAGCATGCGACATTTTTTAGCGGCAATCATTGGTCGATTTTCTAGCGTTGTCATTCGGGGAGTTGAAATGAGGCTTTTTTTGGTCGCCGTGTAAGAGAAATCTTTATACGAGGGTTGCTATTTATATTTCTGGCCTAATAATGAAAAAACAAATATGTAGGATCGAAATTGGTTTTATTGTTTTTCAAAATATTCTCCATGATGATCAATACACTTTTGCATGCGTTTGAACCAATTTTCAAAGCACTTTTTCCAGTCCGATTGAGGTAACTCCAAAACATGCGTTTTGAATGCATCAACCGCTTCTTCGGGGGTCGAAAATCGTTGTCCACGTAATTTATTTTTGATGTGCGGGAATAAGAGGAAGTCATTGGGTGCCAAATCAGGGCTGTACGGTGGATGACCCATCAGTTCGATTTTTCGCTCCGTCAGAAATGCCTTTGTTTGAGTAGATGTGTGAGAGCTCGCATGGTCATGATGAAGAATGATTCGCCTGTTTTTCTGCTTTTTTCAAATTTCTCCGATGACTTCTGGCAAACAAATGGTCGTGTACCATTCAGAATTGACCGTCCTGCTTTTTAAGGACGTAATATGCTT